AAAGAAAGAAAGAAAGAAAGAAAGAAAGAAAGAAAGAAAGAAAGAAAGAAAGAAAGAAAGAAAGAAAGAAATTCCCCAATGTTGCCTCAGGAGCTCCTCAATTTTGTAACATAAAACAACCTTTACTCCAGATTGGAGTATATGCATTGCTTCAAGAAGTTATAACCAGTTTTAAACAGGTCACCAACAAACAGCTTGTTTGAAAGATGGACATATTGATGAAATATTCACTCATTATCATGTTTCATCAAGCCCACAGAGTCATCCTGGCTGTCAGTAGTGACTACTTCCGAGGGATGTTCACCTTGGGCATGAAGGAGTCCTTTCAGTCCTCTGTAACTTTTCCCTTCCTGTCGGCTTCAGAACTTGAAGTTCTAGTTGATAGCTCCTACAGTGGGTCTCTTCCCCTCAGCTGGACATGCATCTTTGAGCTCACCGGTGCAGCTCTTCAGCTCCAGTACCAGCCTGCGCTGTCCTTGTGCCTTAACTTCCTTCAACAAGAAATAACACCTCACACTTGTCTGGATGTGGTATCATTTGCCAAAGCCTATGAAATAGCCCATCTTCTCGATGCAGCGGAAGATTTTGTCTTGAGGCAGTTTCAAAAGGTGGCACTCACCTCTAAGTTTAAGGACCTGCCAACCAAACAGCTCCTCAAGTACCTGAACAGCAGCTCACTCTGTGTTCCCTCTGAGCTCATGGTGTTCAACGCAGTGGTGTCGTGGATTCGTGCAAAGCCCAGCAGAAGGTACAAACTTGCCAAGGAGCTCATGAAAACTGTCCATTTCCCCTTGATGACTTTTAAAGAGTTCAAAGAGGTCCAGTCTGAAGACATGTGGCGTGATCACCGCTTGGCTGGGCTGTACAAAGCAGTTCTCGAAGAGTTCTGCTCCACTCAAACCACACTGCGGAACCAATGTCGGATCTACCTACCCAAAGAAAGCCTGGTCATAATTGGTGGGGACCAGATCTCTGAAGACCTGAGTGGCCGCAGCATCAGCAGAGAGCTTTGGTTTGGGAATTCATTGAGGAGTTTTACAGGAATACAAAAGGCAATGGAGTGGAGAAGTTTGGGAGAGATGCCGGAGCCAGCGAGGTTTAGTCACGAGGTCGCTGTTCTGAATGGACAACTCTACGTCTTCGGAGGCAAAAAGTATTATGGCAGCGGTGACACTTTAAACTCTGCTTACAGGTGAGAAAATATAACATGCAAACCCTAAAAATACTGGTTTTATAATTACGTTTATCTCTTTACACATTTGTAGGTACAATCCCCTACAAGACAACTGGGAGARCCTGAGTGAAATGCAGGAAAAGCGATGCTCTTTCTCTGTGGTTGTTCTAAATGGAAAACTGTATGCTGTGGGTGGACACTGTGAAGTTAACCATATGGACAGTGTTGAACTCTACTGTCCTTCTACAAACTCTTGGAGGTACGGACAGAAATATTAACCCAGGGGTGTCCAGTCCTGGTGCTGGAGGGCCACCATCCTGCATRTGTTTCTTGATATGAAATACAGTCTGCTTACTTGAAAACATATCAATTTAAGTTTTAACAAAAGTGATTTATAAGAACATATTATTCTTGTGTTTTATTAATGTTCTCCCTGCTTTCATTAATTCTAACCAATACTTTTGTTTTTCAGCTTCACCAGGCCTTTGGAGTTACCTTTAAGTGGACACGTAGCAAAAGTTTTAAAAGGGCAGATTTTCATCTCAGGGGGCCAGAATAGTGACTTCCTGTGTCTGTCATCCATGTTTCTGTACCACCCAGAGAGGGGGAGCACCTTTCTGACAAACATGAACAATCCTCGAGCTCATCATTGCATGGAGGCGCTGGGRGATTGTCTGTATGTAGCAGGAGGAATCACCACGGAAGATGGTGTGACTGTTGTCGACCAGCTAGCTTGTGAAGTGTACTGCCCAGCTGCTGACACCTGGACCGCCTTCACGTCTCTGCTGCTGCCACATGTCGGAGCAGGAAGTGCAGTTTTGGAGGGGAAGTTTTATTTGTTAGGAGGGTACAGTCAGGAGGACTGCAGTGACACTAACATGGTTCATCGCTACGATACCACAACAGAAAAATGGGAAAACATTGGGGAGATGCCTGGACCAAACAATGACTTACAGGCATGCGTGCTGTGTTTGCCTCAACATCTGCGAATGTAAGAAGCCTAGATGGGACCATAGCTGCAGTTGTTTAATAAAGTTTGAGTTCTGAATGATTTAGATGATTGTTTAGATTTGTTCTTGCAAATTTTGTTTTGATTGATATATTTGCAAGTGATCAGCTCTGATAGCTCTGTTCACACTAGATGGAAATTACATACCCCAAATTATTTTGCATATGAATGTCAGTAAATTGGCATGCAGATAGCTCCAGGGTCTGCAMCCTTTACAATCAAAAGAGCCATTTCCTTCCCTTGACTCACTAATAAAATGTATCTGGAGCTACAAAATGCACACTTGTGATCAACTGGTGGCCCATGGGTCATTTTGTGTTTGACCAATGAGTGKGACCGTTATAAAACCAAAAACATATTGTGAATTTTAAAATGCCTGTGACACRACATTTTAGTAATAAAAATGATTGTTTGTTTGAAAAGATAACATTGACAAAATGTTGCAAAACAAATTCCACACTRCTGAGRTRAGCAGYTGTTGAAATATTCACGTGATGTAACAGGAAGTGACGTCAAAGGGGAATGTYTGCTTGTAACCAGACTATTGCTACAATGTCYAAAAMCACAGACTGTAGAGAAGAATCTGATGTTTCTTTAGATTATTTTGAGTCAGAGCTCAACATTGTTTTAGTAAACAAAGACCTTTCTGAAAGAGCTTCCTCACTTCCTGTTTCACTTTGGCTGAACCAAGTTCAAAAGATGTGCCCATTATTTGATAAAATGTGTAAAATCATGTGTATTATGTGAAGTTTTCTAGATATAAAGATGCTTTCTTTCACATTGTAGTTGAAGGATATGAATGTCAAAGGAACTTTAACATTTGTTATTATTTTTACATTTTAGGATAAGATAAAAA